TTAGACCAGTGTTTCCCAACCTTTTTTTAGTCGAGGCACCCTTTGGAAATTTTAACAAACTTGTGGCACCCTACAAAATTCATTTTGTCACAATATTTGAATTTCTAACTTCGATATGATAATTTGAAAAGTATAGATATTCGGTACAACAGGCCCAGGGTGCCGCGGCACCCCGGTTGGGAAACACTGCTTTAGACTTTATTCTTTCAAGTGAGTGCTAATGCATAAATCAACCCTCTACATTGTGAGTAAATCATTCGCATATGCGACTAAATCTTCACTCTGAGCGACTAAGTGATGTCTAATATTAGCCAATGGCTAATAAATTCTCAGATTTTACTCGCCAGTGTGTGAGTTGGAGGTATAAGTTTAGCACAGATATATTTTCACTCGCCGAACACTCTCAGACTCAGCGCTTCAGAGTTTCACTCTCCATCAAGCGATCTGTGATATTTTTCATTTCATCTCTATGGATGCGCAGCACACCTGTGTTTGTGTATTTGGCGTACCATAAAGTCTAGTGTGAATGCGTACGACTCGCCGTCGCTTTCTCTCACTCGCGCAAAGTGAGAGAGAGAGAGCGCGAGCGAGAGAGTCTTACATAACATGCAGAATTGACGTGCTACATTTAAACAATATTCTTTGTTGTATTTTCCTGTCAAAATAACGGAGTTCCTTTGGAATCTTCAGCTTTTAAGAACTGCCGGGTTTTCCGGTAGTGGGCAAAACTAATGCGCAAACGACAATCTCATTGGCTGGCGCTCACCTATTATCGTCCCTGTTTTGATTTCAGCAAATCAGTTCGAGCGAACGCACACAACCTGATTAATATTCATGAATCCAGCTGCTTGTTAGTCCTTGGTGCATTTTATATTGTTCTTATTAGTAGAATTCGTATAATAATAATAATATCTTATCAGTATTGATAGTTTTTTCCAATTTTTTTTACAGGAACACTGAATGACCAAAAAAGCACCACCACCAGTCCTAAGTTGAGTTAAAATGACTAATTTGCATTCATACATGGTTACCAAGTTTTAATTCTAATTACTAAGCTTCTATTATTAAATACTACATGATTATCATATTATATTGGTTGACTGCTTGACTGACTGATGTTAAGAGTGTACTTTCAGATATTTAAAAAGCTGTGCCATTTTACAAACACATATATAAAAATACCGCAATACCGGTATCACTTAAACAACGTTCGGAACGCGACACTGTTTGAAAGGGGTCACTTTCACTGGTGCATTGTGGTGATGGAACAGCTGTATGTGTTACTAAACTTGAAAGTTCCGAAACTGAAGCTGTAGAACTAATAGAACATGATGACACTGA